AAGCAACACACAAGTCATCGCAGTATGACAAATAAACAGTCTAGGGCTATTGCTGTTGTTAAGTGCCCTCAAGTCAGTTCTGACTCGTAACGACCTAGTATAGTGTTTCCATGAGCAGCTCATGAGTTTGAACCACTGACTTTGTGGTTCAAATTGACTGTGCTGTCCAGTGCTTATCCCACAGCACCACACCAGACTCGTGGTGGAGGAACATAATTTAGGAAAAATTAACTAAGACACTTCAAACTAATTAACCTTTGTTAAATGAACCCAGAATTTTTATGTACATTTCTCTAACTTAATTTTTTTTTTTCAGTTTTTATTGTGAATTGAGTGAAAGTTTACAGGGCAGATCATCAGTTTTACATTCAACAAATCATATACCTTGTTTCATTACAATTATTATAGTCCCCTCCATGTACCATCAGTTAAAAGTATTTCTCTATATTCACTTTAGCACTTATTTTTTTAAAACACTCAGACATATATAATAATTTACATCACCAAAGGGCACATTCTGCATGTCTGTCTGCCTCCTGGCTGCCTACTCTCAGTCTCTCTCTTTCCATGAATCCAGAGTTTTCAGCTGCTCCCTCTCTCCATGTCCCCATCTCTGGTGTCGCTGCTTCTCTGGATAAGGTCTCGCATTCTGCTTGTGTTCTTCTCCCTTGATGGTCCTTTGTTTCTGGACTGTAAGATTAACTACGCCCCCATTTTTGTTACAAAACTTTTACCTTTACAATTGTCACTGTCACAATTAGTCATGATACAATTACTTACTATTGAATCATACAAATCTTATCCCCATCTCTTTTAACCAACACCAGATAAGATGAAAACTATTCAATGGGGACTCTTTCTTCCCCCACACACTCTTAAACTAAACTCCCTCTTGAAACCTTGTAAGCCAGTCACTTCGTGCCTTTATCGCCCCCTCATTTTAGGAGTCCTGGTATGGCACTGTGAGTTTATGCGCCAGACCGCAAAGCCATTCAAACCTCAGAGTCGGCAGTCCAAGCCCACCAGCTGCTCCTCGGAAACCCTACACAGGGTCGCCATGGGTCAGAAATGACTCGATGGCACCCAACAACAACAACAACATTTTAGGTAGCCAGTGTCTAAGTTACCCACCCCTATCTACCCTATATACAGAGGGGACCGCATTGATACCTGAAGTGAAGACTCTTTCCCTCTCTGTTGGTATTTAGAGTTACCACCTCCATGTGTATAGGTCAAGTTCATCAAATTGTAGCAATTTACCCTCATTTCCTTAATCAAAAATCATTTGTTTGTTTGTCTTTCTCTAGTAGAGTTCTGATTATCAAGCCATCGAGGCTAGGTCAAATGGGTACTATCTGCAAGTTTGGGTGTTCTTATACATCTCCTTTCATTTCATATCAGCTGGATGGATGCTTCACTCTCAGCTCTAGCCCTCTGTGGCTATGTCCTTGTCCATGGGTTCAGGGTGTCCCCAGGTCTCACCATACTTTGGACCAACCAGGCCTTCCTCTTCTCTCTCTCAACACCAGGTTAACAGGAGTCTATGGAACGTGGTTGAACTCAGCCCATTTCTTCATTGCTGCTTTTTCCCCTCCTCCACTCACCAGTAGACCAATGTGGTCGCCAGCAAGCTTACATGCCAGCTCATTTGTTCCCTTTGAAGTTCAGTCTTAGAGAGGGGTTTGTCGTGAAGGAACTTGATTACTTGCTTTTATGGCTTCCTGGCGAACAACTTGCTTATTCTTGTAGTAGCCAGTCATACTGCCATTTTTGCTTTGTTTTTTTCCTGCTAATCTTTCTTTGAAGATGTATCTTCTGTCTCTCTAGCTGTTCCAGACTGGTCTGCTTGTCCTTTCTAATGGGAATGTCCCACCTCATAAGGTTCTGGATGGGGCTCAGGATTCAACCTAAGGTCCTATACACTGCAAAGTGGGCAAGTTCTTGAGCCCATTTTCGCTATTCCAATCAGTTATAGGCTGAAGATGGGCTTGCAAGCTTTCTGTAATCATGTTTCCCGGCATTCCTTTCTATCCCACTCAAGTGTCTATTTTATAATAGTATGCAAGGAAACCAATATTCATAAGACAGTCAAGTGTCTTAGTATTATTTCCTCTCTTCAAACTATGCCTTGATCCCTGTATCACAGAGCCCTGTTGTTCCAAGGTTGAGCATGCATCACTATTTACCTCAGTCCCATTTAGCCCATGCAAACCAGTCTCAGTGTTCTCCTATCTACCTTGTTCTTCCACCCCCTCTCCCTTCTTGTACATTGCCCTCCCCAACACCTGAATCTAACTTAATTTTTTAATTAATTTTTATTGCTAAGATAATTTTTCCAGAATTATGGTAGGTAATTTATTTTTCATGTGTAATACTGTTTTTGAAAGCTTTTATTATCTATTGAATGATTGAAGGCTCACAGGGAAAATCACCATTTTTACATTCAGCAGATCATTGTAATGATTACAATGTCCTCCGTGCACCCTTACACCCTTAGCCAACAGCATTTATCTCTGTTACTTTTTTTTTTTTTTTTTGGTGTACACATACCACATGGTAAATATATATGTGTTTAAATGTCTAAAGGGCACATTTTGCAAGCCAGTCTCCTGCCCACAGACACGGTGATTTTATCAGTCCATGTGCTTAAAGTCCACTACTGTTCTGTCTCTCTATGCCACCGCCTCCACTCTGTTGTCACCACCATCTCTATGGTCGCTGGTTTTCTGGTCAGGATCCTTCGCTTCTCTCGTGTTCTTTCCTCTTGATGGCCCTAGGGTCCCCTGTTCCTGAAATGACAGATTAATTGCTCCCCTTTTTAGTTGCACCTCTTCTACATTTATAGTTGTGACCATCGCCATTAGAGCTGAAAACAATTACTCACATTTGTATCATAAAGTCTTATTCTCCTCATTAACAAACCCATCTGGAAAAGAAGAAAACTATTCAGCTGAGTTTCTGTCTTACTTCCTGAATTCTGACACTGAACACCCTCATGAAAACTTATAAGCCAGCCACTTCATGCCTTTTTAGCCTCCCAATTTTGTATAAGTTGCCCATTCCTATAAACCCAATCTACTGAGGAGACATGCTTTATCCTTTATATGGAAAATCCTTCCCTATTTGGTTGGAATTTTGAGCAGCCCCATCCATAATCAAAGGTCCAGTTGATCAGGTTGTAGCAATTTACGCTTGTTCCCTGTATGATACTTCTTTATCTTCATTTGGTAGAATTCTGGTCAGCAAGCCATCCACACTAGGCCCAATGGGTACTGCCTGCAAGTCTGGGAGTTCTAGCATGCCTACCCCCTCTTCAGATCCTCTGACTGTTTTTCATAATGAAAATTCATATGCCTATCATATCCTATTTGGAGTCCTGGTGTGGCACTGTGGGCTAATGTGTCACACTGCAAAGTCATTTGAACTGCAAGGTCAGTGGTTCAGGCTCACCATCAGCTACTTAGAAACCCTATACAGGGTTCCTATGGGTCAGAATTGACTCTACAGCACTTAACAACAGCAACAACATCATATCATGTAGTCCTGGTGTTGTGCTATACTGGACCACGAGGTCAGTTTAAACTGCAAGATTGGCAGTTCAAATTCACCAGCCACTCTTCTAAAACCTTATTCAGATTCACTATGAATCAGACCCGACGTAACAACACTTAACAACAATCATAAAAACAAAATGAAGTACAGTCACATGTTATTTAACATCCACAATATGTTTGATGAAGTAGGACATTATATGATTTGGAAGTGTGATAACACCATTTTTATCATAGTCTGGTCCTGCTTTTTCCTTGATCATCTTGAAAAATCTTTGTACCTTAGCAGTGATGTCAGTTTGCTGAGAGGGAATTGCTTTTGTATTTAGTCCACAATCCATGTCATTAGCAATTTCTCCATATCTGATGTAAGTGCCACTCACATTTTTGTTAGCCTTGTAACTTTCAGTAGAGCTGATCCTTTAATTTGAAATCCCAAAACACAGTCACCATAATCTTCTAAGCTGCCCTCTCTATCTTGAATGTAATGGACCCAGCAGATTCCCTCAGAAAACACTGTTTCTATCAGACCTTTATTATAAAGGCAACCTAAGGAAAGTAAGCTAATGATATTACTGAGAAAACTTGTTTAAAACATGTTTAACCACATTTTATTTTGAATAAACTTATGCATGTATGAACTGGAACCCAAGTAGCAATAGTGTCTGACTTAACCATCATAGATTCAAAACTCTGTGGGGAAAAAAAGATTAAAGGTAAAGATATTTTTTTTTAATTGTTTAACTTTTTCAACTTCAATATCATTTAAAATAAATTTATAAAATAAGCAAACTAGAAAATGGCAAGCACAACAGAGAGTATAGGGGTTCCCTCTGAGGAGGAGCAGAGTTGCAGCAAGTGGGGGAAGAGGCAAGGAAATGTATGGAAAGAGCTCACAGCTAAATGTAGTTTTGTTGGTCATGTTCTAGTTCACAGGTATTTATTTTGTTGTTACTCTTCATAATTTGCATTTATATTACATATATTATTTTCTCTTTCTCAAAATTTACATATTTTTAAAGCACACACACTAGGCATTGCCATAGTGTTGTTCTAGAGGGTCATGTTGTTCAGTCTGACTTTGTCTGTTACAGGTGATTTGGGGGGCAAAGAGTTGAGATGGAGGGGTTGATCCAGGTGGTTGTAGGGTTTTTCTTTATTTCTTTAACTTAAAATTGTTCATTGTTGCCAGGGGTGTCTAGATGCAAACAAGTATGTTCTTAACAGTTATTCAGCAGCCATACAATCCAGCTAAGCAATTTGAAAACATAGGTGCTTCCATTTATGGACAGATATATACTCTTTCCTTCCTAAGAGGGCTGTGGGACATATATTCTTTCATTATCAGATGGGGTAATATACTTGGTTTAAAGGGCCAAATTCAAATTATCTTCAATAACATGGCTACCTTATCTCCTTTTTTTTTTTTTTTTTTTCTGGTCTACTAAGCACAACCCCAACACTGGATGAAGTCATTGCTTGGGCTCAGTCCTTCGACAAGTTAATGGTCACTCCAGCAGGAAGAAATACTTTCCGTGAATTCCTTCGGACAGAATTCAGTGAAGAAAATATGCTTTTCTGGATGGCCTGTGAGGAACTGAAAAAAGAAGCTAATACAAGCATGATTGAAGAGAAAGCAAGGATAATATATGAAGACTACATTTCTATTCTTTCTCCTAAAGAGGTATGAGACAACTCAAAGGTTTTCTCCAAGGGAACCATTTGCACAATTATGTTGTTGTTAAGTACTGTTGAGTCTATCCTGACCCATAGCGACCCTGTACAGGGTTTCCAAGGAGCAGCTGGTGAGCTTGAATCGCCGACCTTGTGGTTAAAACTGACTTTGCAGACCAGTACATTATTAGCCCACAGCACCACACCAGGACAACTAGTCCAAAATACACATATAGAGAATTACTCCATCCACTATTTATAGTAAGAGATTTTGACCACAGTCCCATAGATGGTCTCCAAATTCCCCCTCAAACAGGTGAAAACGTTTGTACATGTTTTTACAAAAGGTATCCATAATGTCCAACAGATTATTAAGAAGAGTTTTGTATGCATTTTACTGCAAAGACATTACACTGGATAGACATTTCTTTTAAAATAACTATCATTTTATTCTGAGCAAAATAGTTCTAAATTACAGTTTATTATGTTTTCAATGAAAGTTTACACAGCAATTTAGGTTTCCGTTTGGCAATTTCTATACAGTGGCATTAGTTCACATTTTTCACAAGAGTATCAAATCAACACTTTTAAATTATCTTCTGGTTGTTCATTTCCAGTGCTCTAGTTAAGGCAAGATTTTTATTGTGTCTATTAAAGCATTATACAGCCAAAATAATCTCAGCAAATTTATGATGCAAGAATGATATAAAAAGTGACCATTTTCTCCCAAGTGTAAGCTTCTTTTACTTGTAATGTGAAAGCATGAAAAAAATTTTAAATATAGACTTTGGGATCAGATCATCTTGGGTTTGAACCCCAGTTCTATCATTTAAAAATTGCATAACCTGGGCTTGTTTTTAGAAGTAGATCTCTAGTTCTTTCTTCTTAATATAGTCTTTCTGAACAGCATGGAACATTGTCTGATATAATGCTGAAAGATGGGCCCTTCAGGTTGAAAAGCACTCAAAATTCTACTGGAAGAGAGCTGCTTCCTCAAAGAAGAGTTGATCTCCATGGTGTAGATGGAGTAAAGCTTGTGGGATCCTTTATTATCTGATGTGGCGTTGGCAAAACTCAAAATAAGAAACAGCTATAAACATCCATTCTTCATCAGAATACGGAAAGTATGAAGAATCTGGGATAATTAGAAGTTCTCGAAAATGCAACAGAAGACTTGGAGATAGATATCATAGGCATTTATAAGCTAAAATAGGCCAGTATTGGTCAATTTGATTAAGAAAATCTTTCAGTCTACTGTGCTGGGAATGACAAATTGAAAAGGAATGGTGTCACATTCATCATCAAAAAGAATATCCTGAAGTACAGCTCTGTCAGTGATGGGCTATTACCTATATATCTACATGGTGGTGGTGGTGGTGGTGGTGGCTGCCAATTCTAACTCATAGTGGCCCTGAGTAAGGTTCCCAAGGCTATTAATCATTATGGGAGCAGAAAACTTCATCTTTCTCTTTTGGAGCAACTGGTAGATTCAAACTGCTGACCTTGTGCTTAGCAGCCCAGGCGTAATCCATTCATTACACTACAAGGAAAACCAGTTAAGACAACTATTATTCAAATTTATACACCTACCACCAATGCCAAAGATGAAAAAATTGAAGATTTTAACCAACTCCATTATCTGGAATTAATCATTCCTGCAGCAAAAATTGCACTAACCATCCCTCCAAGGCACACTCTAATTCATTGCAATGGTCACACAGAACTCAGACACTCACAGTTTTGAAGTTTATTAGGGAAGTTAACAAATTCAGGAATAGAAATGTTCAGAGCTCAGTTAACTCAGTCAGTACAGCCTCTTCCCAGCCATGCCCACAATAGGCCTCTCTCTGCCCCTCGATCTGGCTTTTATCCTGCTCCAGTAATGTTACAAAGCTCTTTTATGGCTGCTAATAAATTTCAACAGGGCACACCACTTCCACATATGCCTCAGCCTGAAGGCACTAAAGTTCTAGATCCATAGGTCAGCAAGCCTAACTCCCCTAATTCAGTGTCTGAAAGTACCCTGCTCTGTAAGCAAGTCTCCTTCCCAAAGTAATTCAGCTTTATTTGCTTCATGGACTGACTGGGAAGCCCACTATTCTGTCTTGTGTTCTGGCTGATGTTTCTGCTGTTGCTGCTCCTTTACCATTCCTCCGGTGTCACGGCTTTCTGTCCCCGGGTTAAAGAGATTCAACACACAGGGATCTTGGGGTTCAAAGGGCCTCCTCCACTCCTGACTCTTCTTTAATGGTAGTGAAACCCGCCACTCTTGCTTCTGAGATGGCTCATTTTTAGACCCATGTTAGAATTTCAAGTTTTACAATCACAATGAACTCTGTTAACAGCCATTCACAACAGAATCATATTATTCTACCACTATTAACCCCCTTCTTCTCTTACTCAGACCCATCAGGAAGAATTATTTGAAAGAGTTACAAAGACTAAGGCTAGAAGAGATATAGTTGATAATTATTGGTGGTTGGGATGTAAAAGTTAGGGGGGGTAAGGAAAAAGGACCACTAATCATAAAATTCATCACTAGGCTGTCAGTTTGTCATACCTTGGTGGCTTCTGTATTGCTACAATACTGGAAGCTATGCCACTGGTATTTTACATGTCAGCAAAGTCACCCATGGTGAACAGATTTCAGCGGAGCTTCCTAAACTAAGACAGACTGGAAGAAGGAAAGGCTGACCACTTCTGAATGGCTAGCCACTGCAAGCCTTTATTTATGAATAGAAGCAGAACATTGTCTAATACAGTGCCCTTCAGGTTGGAAGATACTGAAAATACAACTGGGGAAGAGCTACGTCCTCAAAGTACAGTTGACCATAATTATGTGAATGGAGCAAAGTTCCCAGGACCATCACTTGCTGATGGGGCACAACTCAAAAAGAGAAGGCATCTGTAAACATCTATTAATAAACAGAACAATGGAATGTACCAACTATGAATCTAAGGAAGATTGTTGTTGTTGTTGTTGTTAGGTGCCATTGAGTCGGTACCGACTCATAGCAACCCTGTGCACAACAGAACTAAACACTGCCCAATCCTGAGCCAACCTCACAGTTGTTGTCACGCTTGAGCCCATTGACGCTGCCACTTTACCAATCCATCTCACTGGGGGTCTTCCTCTTTTTCTCTGATCCTCCACCTTACCAAACATGATATCCTTCTCCAGCGACTGGTCCCTCCTGACAATATGTCCGAAGTATGAGAGACAAAGTTTGGCCATCCTGGCCTCCAAGGAGCACTCTGGCTGCACTTCTTCCAACACAGATCTGTTGGTTCTTTTGGCAGCCCATGCTACTTTGAATATTCTCCTCCAACACCATAACTCAAAAGCATTAATTCTTCTATGGTCTTCCTTATTTACTGTCCAGCTTTCGCATGCATATGAAGTTACTGAAAATAGCATGGCTTGGGTCAGGCTCATCATAGTCCTCAAGCTGACATCTTTGCTCTTCAACACTTTAAAAAGGTCTTGTGCAGCTGATTTGCATAATGCAAATCTAGGAAGATTAGAAGTCATCAGAATGAAATGCAATGCATAATGATAACTCTCCTGGGCATTGGTGAGCTGAAATGGATGGGTACTGGCCATTTTGAACCTGACAATCCTATGGTTTGCTATTTCAGGAATGACAGATTCAAGAAACATGGTGTCACATTCATTGCCAAAAAAGAACACTTTGAGATCTATTTTGAAACATAATACTGTCTGTAATAGGATAATATCCATATGCTTACAAGGAAGACCAGTTAATAGCATTATTATTCAAATTTATGCACCAACTACTAAAGCTAGTTATGAAGAAATCGAAGAATTCTACCATCTTCTTCACTTTGAAATAGATCAAATATGCAATCAAGATACAGTGCTAAATACTGGTGACTGAAATGTGAAAGTTGGAAACAAAGAGGAAGGATCACTAGTTGGAAACTATGGCCTTGGTGATAGAAACGATGTTGGAGATTCCATGAAAGAATTTTGCAACACCAATGACTTAATTCATGCAAATACATTTTTCAACAACATTAGCAGTGACTCTACACGTGGACCTCTCCAGATGGAATGCACAGAAATCAAAATGACTACATCTGAGGAACTGGATGGTAGAGAAGTTCAATATCATACAAGGCCAGGGGCCAGCTATGGAACAAATCATCAATTGCTTATATGCAAGCTCAAACTAAAGCTGAAGAAAATGAAAACAAGTTCACAAGAGCCAAAATATAATCTTGAGTATATTCCACCTGAATTTAGAGACCACCTCAAGAACAAATTTGATGCATTAGACACTTATGACTGAATCCAAAATGAGTTGTGGGATGACATCAAGAACATCATACATGAAGAAAGCAAAAGGTCATTAAAAAGACAGGAAAGAAATAAAATATCCAAGTGGATATCAGAAGAGACGCCGAAACTTCTCTTGAGAGTAGAGAAGATAAAGTGAGGAAGTAAAGGAGCTAAACAGAAAATTTCATTTTCATATCATTAGTGCTTCAAGAAAACAAAGAAAAGTATTATAATGAAATGTACAAAGACCTGGAGTTAGAAAACTAAAAGGGAAAGACACACTTAGTCTTTCTCAATCTGAAAAAAAACTGAAGAAAAAGTTCAAGCCATGGGTTGCTGTATTGAAGGATCCTAAGGCCAAAATGGAGGCGCTCTGGTAGCATAGTAGTTATGAACTGGGCTGCTAACCTCAGGGTCAGCAGTCGAAACTACCAGCTGTTCCGCGGGAGAAAGATGAGCTTTTCTGCTCCCGTAAAGATTTACAGCCTCAGAAACCCTGTACAGGGTTGCTATGAGTTGGAACAAACTCCATAGCACATACACAGCAACAACAGGGCAAAATGGAACCCTGGTGTGGTGCTGTAGGATAAGCACTGGGCTGCAAGGTATGTTTGAACCAAAAAGTCTGTGGTTCAAACCCACCAGCTGCTCCTTAGAAACCCTATACAAGATCAGTATGTGTTAGAACTGACTCAACAGTACTTAAA